CACTGGACCCCTAGTTCTTCATAACTACCTAATGATCTAGGCTCAATTATTGTTCCCAATTTATAGATGAGCAAATTGAGACACTTTGAAATAACTTTCTTAGGGCATACTGGTAAGTGAAAGGTCCAAGATTCAAACCCATGTAGTCTGGCCTTACATGATTAATCATTTCATCTGCCTCAACAGACCATGCCCACCTCCTCCAACTCTAGGAGCCTTCTAGAGATTCCACAACTGAGCACTCTGTAGTTCCAGACTCTATACTAGGTACTGTGGGGAAAGCTACAAAGAAGAAATGAATAAAGTTCCTGCCTTTACGAAGTGACTGACCTGGAAAGAAAGATGTAAGTCTAGAGGCATCCATGCCCCTATGATAGGGAGGAAACAGATGGGAGAGAATGAAGCCAGTACATCACCTGACTCAGAAAAGGGAGGTGGAAGAGAAAGACCCCTGTTCCAGCCAACTGGGCCCTTCCTGGGGCTTGGTAATTTGGTTTCACCTTCAATTCTGTGATTGTCCCTCTATTCTTCTAACTTAAACCTCACTTTTTTGCTTAAGCAAATTTAATTCAGGATTTTGATCCTTGTGACAGCTTTAAATAATAAAGGCAAGAAGTTCCTGAGTTCCAATTTGGAAAGGAGAGGACAGGCAAGGAAGATGGGCCAGAGGCAGAACTGAAAGAATATGGTCACCAATTTGATGAGTCATGTAAGTGAAGGGGTGTCCAAGGGGAAGTCCCAAGCTATAGGCTTGAGAGATTGGAGAGAGATGGTGGTGTCTTTAGCAGAAGTAGACAATTCAGAAGATAATCTGTATGGAGGGTAAGGTGGGGGTGGAGGAAAGGAAAATGCAATCCTTCAGTTATTCTCTCATTCACTGAACAATTGTTTTTCCAAGCCCTATCTCGACACTGGAGAATCAATAGTGGATAATGTGAGTTCCGATTTGGATAGTATCTGTGGGCCATCATTGACTTAATTACTGAGCCAACAGTAAGCACCAACTATGGCCCATGCACTGTCTATAGAACTGAGCACAAATCCAGTGATGTCCAGCAGGCAGCTGGAAAGAGGTGTGACCTGGCATTTCTGTTGGAAGCATCATCCCCAGAGAGATACTTTTAGAAGTTGTGGGAGAAAGCTCTCAGAGAAGAGAAGTCTAGTTCTACAGGCCTTGTCTATCGAGCCTGGGCTTCATCCGTGAGCTGAGAACACAATGTTTCTTTGGCCTGTGTGGCTGAGCGCAGGCACTGAAAGAGCTTGGGTGTAGGAGTCCAATCTGGAGCCAGCCCGGATTTACACACCAGCCCATGAATGACCCGAATGAGTTGGGCTTGCCTGTCAGAGTCTCGGTTCCCTCAGCTACAAAATGAGGGTATGAATGCTCATCTGAGAGCTGGGAGTAAGAAAGAATGTACAAGGCCATTCACTCAACCACAAACAGGGAGTGAACACCTACATGTACCAAGTTCTGGATAAAGGACTTAAACAGAAGCCAGTGTGAGGGGGTTCATCTGGCATCTGTGAAAGCTTTGGGGCTGCCATGGCTGGGTTTTGATTCACCTCAAACGGCTGATTCCTATGTGCCCACCAGGAATCAATACCAATCTGCCCCTGCCCCAGCCTATAAAAAAAAGTGATCTTTTGTATCGATGAGAGAAGAAAGAGAAAAATGCAGGTTTTGCTGTCCTCGGCAGAGTTTTCCAGAGCGGCAGAAAAAGGGCCCACGTGAACCATGCTGTTCTTGGCAGCCACTACTCCACTCCTCACAGCCAGAGGCTTAAAGTGTTATTTGTGGTTTAAGTTACAAGCAAGGGCGAAACCCCAGAAAAGGGGGGAGGAGGGGCGAAAACATTTTAAAAGTTGAGAAAATTGCCCTGTGTTCTCAAGTGCAGGCAATTTGTCCAAACACCTGAGCTCTGTAGAATCCTAGTGGTCTGCCTGTGGTTTTACATTCTGGGGCTCTGGGCCCAGTGCTGGGGGTGGGGGACGTTTTTCATACATTAAGAAAATCACAAAATCACTTTTTATGAGATATTAATGAATAGCTTTACTGCTTCAATGGCGATATTGTTGGAGGTTTTGAAAAAAATCCAAGTCCGTGGTTGGGGGTGGTGTTGTTTTGAAGATTGCTGCATAAAGCATTTCACAGTCATTATAGGGGAGTCTGGGCGTTGCTCCCCAGATCCCACAGCAGAGGACACTGAACATTTTAGGCACAGAAGAGCCTTTTAAGGCCTTCAAGTTAAGTCCAACCCTCTCCTTACATTGATGATAAAAACAAGGCCCAGAGAAGGTAAGAAATATGCCAAACATAGCACAGCATGTTTGTGGTAGAAGCGAGTCTAGACCCCAGGCTCCTGGACTCCCAGCAGCCTTTGAGGCAGCCCAGAGGTGACATTCCACCTCAGAAACCACGGCTGGCCTCCCCTTCGTGTTGACATTTCTGCGGCAGTGACTTTGAAAGCTGCCTTTTATGGTTCTGGCTTTGGAAGGGCAAACACTGCTATCAGTAGAATAACACAGGTGGCTTCTAGAGTTGGGCCCAGGTGGAGTGGGGCAGGAAGTGAGGCCCCGCGCAGGCAGACATGACCCAATCACCTGTCTGGGTTCAGAAGGGTACACAGGCTTTCCTCGGGGAGTGGGACAAGAGGCCAGTGTGCTGGTGAAGGGCTTGGCTTTGCGGCAGACAAGATGGGCTCAAGTCCCCACGGCCTTACTTGCCAACTGTGCAACTTCCACAAGCTCCCTGACCGGGCTATGAAGCAGAGATCACCATCGCTCAGTCCCATCAGCCATGTGTTATAATGACTAGTGTATTGGATAGCACAGGTACACGATTATCAAAGAAATTTCCGTTGGCCGATGCTGGTAGGGGCGCTGGGCTGTTGACAGGGGTGCCTGGTGCTGGATCTCACCCTCCTGAGCCACCTGAAAACAGGGCTGGCCCAGGTGAGGTCTTCAGCTCTCAGGGCTCAGGCTCATGCGGAGACACCCAGGGCTCCAGGCTCCTCTCTCTTCCTTGGTCCTCTCTAATGCTGCAAGGATTTGGCTTCAGCTTGGGAACCTGGCCGAGTGCCTCTCCATGCTTCCTGGAGCAAAATCCCAGGGAGGAAGGAGGTGTGCAGCCAGAGGCAAGTGGCTGGGAATACCTGAGGCAAATGCTGAATGTAGAGTGAGGAAAGCCTTGCATTCGAATCCTGGCTCACCCACTTGGTGTCAGTGGCCCTGGGTAAGTCAATGAAACTCTGAGCCTCAGTTTCCACATCGGTGCTCTCTCTGCCTGCCACATCATGAACCAGTGAGAGAATGAGTCAGTGGAGGTAAAAACACTTAGTAAATGAAGTACACACTTAGTAATACTTAGTAAAGAATGGGAAACTCCTAAAAGTAGGGGCTTGCCTTTCTCTTGTTCAGCCTCTTTCTTCACCAAAAGGGTATTTAGATAGAGGGATGCAGGCAGCTGCCTTTGAATCTCTGTAAATCCATGTTGTGCTACTTGGAAACATTCTCCAGAAGTCAGGAGATTACAAGAAGCTGGTCTCCCAGAGACACCCTGGAGGAAGAGGGGCTAGGGAAGGAGAGAAAGGGGACACATACATTCTTTGAACACCTATAATGTACTAGTTAATGTGATAGTCACTTTCATACATGAAAAGAGATGGTGATGATGATGGCAAACTTTATCAACAGGGACAGTTCTCAGTGCTTTACACATATTAACCCCATTTTGTGGATGAGGAAACTGAGACAAGAGAAGTTACAATAAGTCAGCAGGGTCACCCTAAGCTGAGGTTTGCATCCCAGCTGTGTGCCTCCTGGGGCCCTACGTGTGACCATCACACAACCCTGCTCCCATAGTCTGCATCTTGTTGGAGTCTCCACACCTGCCCCTTTCAGACAAGGAAACTGAGGCTTAGGGAAATTAGGCTCACACAGAGGAGGGAGAAGAGGTTCCTCCAGTTTTTTGTTTTTTTCTTCAAAAGTATTCCTTCTTTGGCTATCTTTTTAAATGATAGAAGATATTATTCAATTTGAGTCTAAATCTAGCTTCCTATTACTTTCTTGCTTGAAACTTACTTTTTCCTTTGGGTCAGAAAGAAGAAATCTACTGCCTCATCCATAGGGAAACCTCTGGGATACCCAAATCCCAGTCTCCCACTTCTTCTCCCTTCTGTTCCTCAGGAAAAAGCAATGCAGGTCCATCAGCCTAGACAAGGAGGACAACATCACCCCCTTCTGTGTTCTGGTTCTGAGCTTTAGGACAAGTTCTGGTTTGACTATGACAATCTGAAAATTTGGAACTAGAATTTAACCCCACATTCCAGCTCTAGTCTGACTTCAGAGTAAGTGCAATGTCACCTTACGTTTTGACACTATGCTCCTAGTGATACATCCCAAGTTCACATTATCTCTTTTGGCAGCCACCTCCACATTGCTGACTCACGACTCCCTCATGTCCTGATTTCCTGTTCATTATCCTTTCCTCTACTTGGCCTGATTTCTTAAGACCTCTCTGGTTACATTACGCTGAGATGCTTGAAGAATCCCTTTAGCAAGTAACTTGGAGAAGCCCTCAGATTTGGGGCTAGTTAATCCACACCCTCAAATGAAGGCCTTCAAAATCTCAAAGATAGTTGGATCCAGAGGGGACTGGAAAAGGCTCTCTGACCCCAGGGGAGCCAGCAGACAGAGGGCTATTTCATCAAGAGTCAGATCCGTAAGTGACTGGAAGATACTCCTTCTAGAGGAGCAAATGCTGCTGCCATCTTATCACTTTCAGAAGAGCTTGGGAGCCACAGTCCATTCATACTTCAGAGTAGTGATTGGTCATCCAGGCTGAAACCCAACAAGCTTGGACTCAAAGCCACTTACCAACTTTATGACTTCAGGCCAAGGACAACATCTCTAAGCCTCAATTTCTCTCTGTAACACTGAGGCCATAATGGTACCCCATCGTGATGTTGACAGAGTGAAAAAAAAATGAGTAAATGACTTACCCCAGGGCCTTGGTCCATGGTGGGAGCTCAGCTTTTGTGATGACTTCTTCAAGCCTGTGTTCTCTCATTTCAGCATTTCTTCAGCAAGTATTCACCGAGAGTGGGCAGGGGCAGCTGGGTGCTACAGAGGGAAAATGCAGATGCTAACAAAAGCCTGAGAGCAAGCTCAGCTCTGGAAGCTAAAGATGCTTCCAGGGAACTAGCTAAATGCTCTACAGAAAACTCTCTGGTTCTGGGTTTGGACTGCTGGCCACAACACCCACTTCACGCCCCCCTACACACACACACACACACACACACACACACACACACACACACACCTTCTCCTGGGCCATTTCTGAGTTTGAAGCTTCTCAGATTACTCTCAATGTGACCTTCCACAAATCCCATAACTCATAGCCTCTGGCACATTTCTTATAAAACAGATAGTAATACCCACAGAGCTGAGTTTTTGTAGTAGATCAAACAGTGACATATGTAAAGTGACCAGCCAAGCCCGAATTTGGCCAATGCTCCATAACTTTTAGCTGCATTTCCCCACCACTCCCTCTGCCTGCCAGTCCTCTACTATCATATGCCAAGCTTGGGCTAGATGATGGTGGCCAAGAAGTTAATGAGAAGTCCATAGAGAGTGTAAAGTTTTGGGGGAATAAACATTTCAATCTCCAACCCAAATAGAGAAGTGCTAAGGACTCTGATGGACTTATGTCCAAGGCAATGTGGGAACACCAGGAAGGTCAAATCACTTTGCCTGGCCCGCCCTCAGTTTCCGCATCTGTCAAAGGGGTGCAATTTGTTTCTATCTCACATGAGATGACTCAGTGAGTTAGTAAATGTGAAACTATATTGGAAAGTTGAGTTCTGTTCTCTATTTATTTACCTGGTTCCTCATTATACTTGAATCCACTGAGGGAGGGCCAATCCCCAGCACATTAGTACAGAGAGGTCCACAGTGGATGAGTGAACTGTTATAAGAATTTATGACCTAATCTTATCCCTGCAGACCCCAAGAGGTTTCCCTATTTTATAGATGGAGAGAAATCAGAGCACAGAGTTCAAAGAGTTGCCTGGCAACCAGTGACTGAGCCAGGCACCTTCAGACCTGCTCTGATGACCTTTCCACTAGATTCTACCACACAGGCCACTCTGGCTGGGGTGGGGAGCCACTGCTCAGGCGGACACGATTAACCTTTCTCCGTAGGTCACTGAGCCAACCCACCAGCCTCTCACACTGAGTCATGGACCGAGGTGGACCTGAGACCTGAGGAGAAAGCAGAGCTGCCCTGTTGAATAGGTGTGCCAGGGATTCCCTCAGGCCAGCACATCGCCTGGGAAATCCCTCATGCAGGGTGAAGATGGGGCAAGTACAGAGACGTCATGCTAGGTCCACTCCCCTCTTTCACAAGAGCGTCTGAAGGACAACACCTAACTGTCCCCAGTGGGCCGTCACTCAGAGGCATCCCTTCCTCCGCACTCCCAGGGCTAACACCCTAACATCCATCCTACCATCTTTTGTCTTGACTGGGCTCCCAGCTCCACTCTATTCACCTAAGAACTTGAGTGACCTGCTATAGTCACACGTTATAACCATGACATGCTTATGTTCAAAAAATCTTTAACAGCTCCCTAGTACATAGGGAATAAAGTCAGCGTGGCCTTCAAGGCCCTCCTGATTACACCTCATGCTTCTCACATACTCTTAGGTTCTCTATAGAGGAGATTAATACACACTGAGGGAAAACAACTAACTGCTCGTCAAAGACCCAATTTCTAAACCAAGGGCTTTCTCTGAGGGAAGGTCCAGTTGTGTGATTTTGAGAAAATGAGTAACCCTCCCTAAGTCATATGACCTTGGACAAGTCATTTTACCACTGAAGCCCATTCTCTATCAGTTAAATGGAGATAAGAATACAATCATATCCACCTCACAGGATTGCTGGGTGGCTTAACAGACATTGTGAAAAACATAAGAAAATAATTTTGACAATATGCTTTATTTACCCATTATATCCAAAATATTATCAATTCAACACCTACTCAATTGACATGGCTAATGAGACATTCTATTGTTCATACTAAGACTTTGAAATCCAGTGTGTGTTTCATATTCATAACACATCTCAATTCAAACCAGGCACGTTTCAAGTGTTGAATAACCACAGGCGGCTGGTGGCTACTGAGGTAGACAGTGCGGGTCGGGACTCATGTAAGTGCCCTTGCTGGGTGCTCCCCTGGCACCTGTACTTACAAGGGAAGAAATAACCCTTCCCATGGCAAGCATTTCTACTTGACTTACCTGCAAGCAATTCCCGTAAGGAGAGGGAATGAGTGGTATCCCCAGGGCCTGACATAGTACCTAGCACAGAGCAGACACTTAATAAATACTTGTTAAACAAATATTATTCAGTTCTCTACCCCCAATACCAGCCCAGTGCTTGACCCTCAGTAGGCATTTAATAAAGACTTATTAAATTAATGAAGTAACGACCCGGTATTTTAATGGTAAGTGAGTTTGCGATTTGCCAGCAGGTGAAAACCAGGCAGTTTATTGCAGGGGAGACAATGGTACCTTTCTAGCCCTGAAGGTAACACCTGCCATTAAGTCAAGTTTCCTTCACCACCTCCTTCCCCCAAAACAAAACTGGAGCCAGATGGGAAGCCATGGGACTGCACATTTGGGAGAGATCCCCCAATGCCTGGCCTGCAGTGATAGGCAAGCATATCAAGTTCCCATAAAGAAATAAAGTTAACTCCCAAAGAAGGCCTAATTGCTCTCTCTCACTTTATTCATTTTCTTTCAAGATCAATTCAGCAATGCACAAGGTGAGAGGCTCCAAAAACCTGCCAGGCACTGTGCAACAGAAATCTAGTAAGAAAACTTTACATTAGGTCAGTAATAATCACAACGATGGGGCATTTCAGCCTCGGCCTCTCTGCTCACAAACTTGATGACCTGAAGCAACCTGTGTCCCTCCCATGAGCATGAACTTGCCCGTGTGCAGGCTGGGAGTGACGGCACAGACGTCTGGCCAGGCCTTTGCGAGGACTCTGTAAGAGCAGAGTTCCCCCGCACACACCCATGCTCAGTGACTGCTCACTTGCATTGTTCCCTCACTGAACCTGCAGGCTCTCCCCAGTTTGCAAAATGAGCCTTCGTATTATTTTTGTCTTGAGGTCAGCCATAGGCTGGATGATTTTCTTAGAGTTGTGGAGAGCTTTCTTTCCCCTCCTTGTGGACAACTCACACAAACACTATTTGGAAAGATCTGGGCGAGTCGTCTCTCTGGAGTCTGGTGGCAGGCCAGGAGGCCGGTCACAAAGGCTGCATTCAGCTGCAAACAGCAGCCTGATGGGCAGGGGCCATGTCCCAAACATTCTTGACTAGGCATGGGGGTGGGGAGGGAGGTGTTACCGGCCTCCAAATATTTGTTGCTCTATCGTCATAGCAACTGCAGTGGCCATAGTGAAACCTTGAAACTGCACATCGAAACTTGGGAGGTGCTGCAAAGTCAGGCCTGATTGGGAGAAGGCTTTCCCCTGGACTTCCCCTCTGCTCTCTCTCTGAGCAGCTTTCCAGCTCCTTTCAAAGGGCACTAAAGACAAGCTGTTATGCTGGCTGCACACAGTCTGGTGCCTGCTGTAACGAAAGATGTTTGTGCAGAGACTGTACCAAATGGCCCAGGACAGCTTTTAAGAGACTTACATCAGATGGAGTGGCCTGGGACAGTGACACTGCCTACTTACTCGTGTGACCTTGGGCAAGTCACTTACAGTCACGGAGCCCTTTCCGGGGGTGGGGGTGGGGGGGTCAAGCCCAATTCCCAGTTCAGTCAACTCTTACTGACATCTACCCTGGGCTACTGCAAAGCTAAAAACACATGGCTATTGTTCTCGGGGAGCTCACAGAACCTACCAGGCAGAGCTGTGTTAAATAGCAGGTTGCATCACACCAGGCGCCCACTGCCCAGCCCCCAGTGGGGACCAGATATACTATAAAAGTTGATTTCCCTTCCTTCTTCATACTGGGCTACTCCAAAGATAGCCCTGAAAGATTAACAAGAGCCCAGCTACTTTCATAACATTCTTCTCACATCCAAGGTAAACTTACCAGTCTGAGCATAACTGGGAATGAACTGAACTTTTATCGATTTTATACATTTTATCTTCATTACAACACGCTTTCACAACCCATATCTCTCTCTTTTTTTCATATTTTTTTTTTATTTTTTTACAGAGAGGAAGGGAGAGGGATAGAGAGTCAGAAACATCGATGAGAGAGAAACATCGATCAGCTGCCTCCTGCACACCCCCCACTGGGGATGTGCTCACAACCAAGGTACATGCCCTTGACTGGAATCGAACCTGGGACCCTTTAGTCCCCAGGCTAACGCTCTATCCACTGAGCCAAACCGGTCAGGGCACAACCCATATCTCATTGGACTTTCATAACTATCTGTTGGATTTGGAAGGGCAAGAATTGTTTTTCACTCTAGAGTGAAGGTACTAAGGCACAAAGGCAAAGTGATTTGCCAGGCCACAAAGGGAATTAGGGGCAGAGAAGGAATTCAAACACATATTTCCCAAATTATTATTTTAATAAATATTTCTTGAGCAGCTACCAGGGGCCAACATTGTTCTAGAATCTAGACACTGAGGTTAAAGCAGTGAACAAAACAAATTTCTGTTAAAGAGCTTAAGTTCTAGAGGAGAGAAGATGACTATTAATAATCACATAAATACATATTTTCAGGTAGAAATAAGCAATATGGAGAAAAAATAAGCAGAGTAAAGAAAGCAGTGGTACAGGCTACTATTTTCTATAGAGCCTTCTGGTGAGTTCTTTCCAAGGAGACCAAAAGAACTGAGGAGCTGGCTCTGTGGATACCATCGTGAGAGAGTCTCTCGGCAGGAAGAAGAGTGAGGCTCGAGGCCCCAAGGTAGGAACATGTTGGCATGTTTGTGGAACAGCCAGAAGACCAGTGCAGCTAGGCAGAGAGGGGTGGGGAGACTGGCAGGAGATGAGGCCAAAGAAGGTGTGAGGGCCTCTTAGGAGGTGGAATGACCTTTGGGTTTCAACCTGACTGAGAATGAAGCCATTGGAGGGCTTTGGACAAAGGAGTGACATGATGTGACCTGGCATGCTAAAAATTCCATTTGGTACCCACATAGGCCACAGTCTGAAAAATGACAAGGATGGACAGGGACAGTAGCGATTGCAATGGTCCAGGCAGGAAACAAATGGTTGCTCAGAGAGAGTGGTAACAGGGAGCTGGTGATGAGGGGTGGGTTTTGGATCCACTTCTCAGAAAGAGGTAACAGGATGGCTGATGGTTGAAGAAGAGTCAATGATGAAAAAAAAAAAGAGTCAATGATGACTCCTTGGCCTCTGGACTGAGTAACTAGAAGCATAAAGTTGCCATGTCCAGAGATGGGAAACCCTGGGGGAGGAGCACACTGGGGGATAATAATGAAGAGTTTTGTTTTAAATATGGTACATTTGAGGTACACACTGGAGCTCCAAAAGGAGGAGCCAGAGAAGGTGAAAAGAGGCAAGCTAGACATATACATTTACCATTCTTTGGAGCACATTATTTAAAGCCACTGGCATGGATTAACACCCCCGAGGGAATGAGTGGGGATAGAGGAGAGGGCCAACCTTTGAACATTCTAATAGAGCTAATAAAGAGGACCAGCCATCAGCTCTGCAGGAGGGGCCTGTCAGGGTGCACACCTGCCCTGGCAGGTTAGTGAAGGAAGAGCTTCAAGAAAGGAGGGGTCAGACTAGTGATAGATTAAGGCGAGGACTGAGATTGACCTTCTGATTTGGCCAAGAGGGGTCATTTGCCACCTTCACAATCTCGATTACAGTGAAGTGGTAAGGGCAAAAGCCTGAATAAGTGGGTTCAAGAGAGAATGGGGGAGAGAAAGTGGAGACTGCAAGTAGGTTCAAGTCTTTGGAGAGTTTGTCTGGAAAGAGGAACAGAGAAATGAGGGGAAATGGGGGATCAATGGATGGTTCCTTCCTTCCTTCCTTCCTTCCTTCCTTCCTTCCTTCCTTCCTTCCTTCCTTCCTTCTCTCCCTCCTTCCTTCCTTCCTTCCTTCCTTCCTTCCTTCCTTCCTTCCTTCCTTCCTTCCTTCCTTCCTTCCTTCCTTCCTTCCTTCCTTCCTTCCTTCCTTCCTTCCTTCCTTCCTTCCTTCCTTCCTTCCTTCCTTCCTTCCTTCCTTCCTTCCTTCCTTCCTTCCTTCCTTCCTTCCTTCCTTCCTTCCTTCTCTCCCTCCTTCCTTCCTTCCTTTCTTTCTTTTTGGAGTTTCTTTTAAAATATGATTGACTTCACAGCATGATTGTGTACTGATGGGATGGGCTACTGGAGAGGGATGGATTGATGGGCAGGAGAGAGAGGAGCTTTTCTAGGAGCCGTGCTCTTGGATAAGAGAGCGATGGGATCGATTTCAATCCCTGATGTGTCTTCCACTATAACATGACCCCCAATTAATAAAATTATACATTTGGGGATCATTTTAAAATGCTTTTCAAATGTAAACATTTCTTTCAATTACATAGAGTAAGTTTACCAGGAGGTGGTAAAAATATTGCCCAATGATTCTTGGAGAGCCTGCCTTGGTAGCACAATGCGTTAGCCACTCCTCCTGCTGCTTTCCCTAACGTGTGTACACGTCTCTAACTGCAGGTTATTTACCAGGCAGGCTCCCATGGTAGAAGTGAACTCCCCACGGGCAAGGACTGTGCTCTGTTCCTTTCTGCAGCCCCATGGCTAACAAATGACTGGCATGTGTGTATTCACCAATCACTTAGGAAAGTAACGAGAAGAAGGAGTAAAAAGAAAGAAGGTGAGAACTGCATATTCCTGCTCTAATAAAACTCTCACCTTTCAAATGAGGCATGAACTTGATATTATTTTATAAATATACCTTCCTGACAGCATGGTGAGTAAACAAGTGCTTTCTTTTCTTTTTAATCTGTGAAAGGCAAAGGAAAGGATTTATTGAGTAACTGACAGGAGTAGGAAAAAAGCTTTATTTTGCACACACAGAGTCATTAGCACTACTATTGAGTTAAATAGTCATGTAATGGGATGGGATTCCTCATTCAGTAGTGAGCTTCCCATCAGTGGAGGTACATAAACAGAGACTAGATAATGCCTGTGGGAAATCCCGGCATCCAATGGTCATCAGGCTTTGTCACCTATGGTCCAATTCAACCCTGGGAGTCAATGAGTCCAAGTTATATTATTCTACAATTCATCATCAAAATATAAGCACATAGAATTGCTATATCAGGAGGCACAATAGCATAGTACTTAAACACATAAATTGTGAAGTCAGACTGCCAGGCA